CTTTTAGCAAGAGGTTATCCTTTGTGTGAATATATGTTTTTGTACATGTTTGGTCGATGAGCGGAAATAACAGCCATAAAAAAATTCCCACTTATTCTTGCATTTCATGTATTCATGCTTACATTACAAAATCATTAAATCCAATCCTTCCATAGTAGTCGTTTCATGCCTGGGGGAGATGTCATCAAGTCCAATCAAACTTGTGAAATTATTTAGCAAACAACGAAAAGAAAAAGAAAAAAAAAAGGCATAACTTTTGTTGTACATGAGTTTCAATGATGCAAACAAGTAGGAGAAAAGAAGATCGAGAAGATGAACATTTTAGAAAGCTCGTATTTTTGATGAAAAAATCCCCAAGGACATAAAATATGGGGCTAACATGGGGGACATGTGATGTATCCCCCTCCTATTGCATAATGAGTTAGTCATCATTAATGATGACCAACTCATTATGCAATATGAGGGGGACACCTCACCTGTCCTGTCCCCCCATGTTGTTCTCATATTTTGTGTCAATGTAGCAAAGCTCATTTTTGGTAGCTTTTTTTTCTTCCACATAAAACATAATGTTTGGTTTGGGGATCAATTTTGATGCATGTAATGGATTCTAAAAACTCATAATTAAAATCGTATCTGTTTGCGATGGGTATTAAAGATGATTTGCATGATGGATAAAATCCAAATAATTTTTGTTTGGTTATACATGAATTTTATTGAGGATGTGTGACTAAAAATTCACAAATCCTATTGAAAACAACATAATTTTAGGGAATTATATTTGATGTATTTACTTTATGTCGCAACCCCAAATTCGTGTATGAAAAATGATAGACAAACAATGTATTTGCTAAAAATCCATGACTTTCAACTTGTGGGTCTCATTTTTTTAATGTGAGGATGCGAAATGTATGTGCAAAATGTATGGAAACAAGCAACCCCTTAATGAATTAGTATCTTTGACGCCCTAGAAATGCCACGTGAGCAGCACAAGTGTAGTATAGGAATAGTGTAGAATTTGTAGTATACTTTTTTTTCCATGATTTATTACAGAATAATGATAAGTACATTATATTTTTTTATACTACTCTTATACTAAAAGAGAAAGCGTGAGCTCCCTTGACGAGTCATCAATTTAATTTTTTTTTGAAAAGATTATAGACCCCACACATTTATTTCTTGTAGCGTAGAAATAGTATAAATGAAGCACTGCAATTATCACTACTCTTTATTACGCATCAAGTAAAAATTTGATAATCCTATATTTGTGGTTATCTTATGTGTGTACAATTCATTATTGAAGTTATTTGATATTTTTTTGGAAATAATTCATACGTCTAGAATGTATTTAGCACTATGAACGTTTATTTTTAAAATGCATTCTCAAATTTGTATTGATAATATAATTTTGGGCCCAACTCATTGGGTTAAGACCTAGAAGGGTTTGACAGGACCATGAGGGGGAAAAAAACCAATTTTTAAAAAGAGTTTATAAACATTTTTTTTGGATTATTTCATTTATGCTCTGTTCTTACATTAGGCAACTTATGTTTAAAAGTCAAATAAGACTGCCGTTTAAATTGGCAAGTAGATTATTTATTCTTTAGCTTTCGGCTGTTTAGTCCTTTATGTTCGCACAGATATCCAAAATATCTATAATGAGCATGACTGCCGCTTTTGTTATTGCTAAATATTGATTACCACAAAAAAAAAAGAGTTCATAAACCATTTTTTTAAAGGCAAAGGGGATGTGTATAGGGGTGCATTCGGTCCGGATACGGCTCGGATATGATGCTTACCATATCCATATCCGCTTACTCATCTCGGATACGGATACGGATACGGATATACCTCGGTAAGAAAAACTTATAACCATATCCGCTAAAATCGGATACGGTTACGGATATACATGCGGATATATAAGCGGATATGCATGCGGATACAAAACAGATATGAGAAAACTAGATAGTATTGAGAAAAACATAGTTCATGTGATACAAAAAAGTTCGTTAATATGTCCATTATAACTAAATAGTTAAGATTAGTCATATTGATCATCAAAATTAACCACAAATCCATAATCTAAGAATCGAAACTATCGTAAGAGTATGACTAATATGTATTCGGATATTTCAGATACGGATACGGATATTTCACTACAAAACCATATACATAACCATATCCTATCGGTTATAGATTTGAGTAACCATATTCGTATCCTAACGGATACGGTTACGGATATTTCATCGGATACGGATACGGTTTAGCACCCCTAGATGTGTAGATTATCCTCATTCAACTACTTTCTTGTTTGTAATTTTCCCATATTCAACACCTAAATAAGAATACAACTTTCTCTGCAACACATTGAAATATTACGAAATTTTTCTGCTGCACATGATATCGACGTGATAGGTACAAAGTTGCGAAAAAAACGTCTCTGTTTGTCAGAGACTCAAGAGTGCTTGTAAAAAGAGTAGAGATAACATGCGATTAACATTCTATAGTACAGGAAGTATATATTGAAATTAACCCTTTACTTTTGTATGAGAGCCAGTAGAAAGTAATCACATAAACGAACAGTTAGCCCCACTGTGGTCAACAGAGCAACTCACAATATCACTTCTAAATTAAGCGCTTGGCTTGTAAGCCAAATAAATTACTCAGTTTTTAGATTATGACCAAGATCATAAGTTGCAAGTCAGGGCAACCCTAGTTTTAGATGAAAGCAAGAAGTAATAGTTACAGACTTTATCGAAGTAATCAGAGTAATCCAGATTTGAATTTTGCTGGTCACGAATTTCTTTGCGGGTTTTTTAAAAAATTAATATCGTTGTCTCAGTCTATCAGAAGACTTATGAACAGAATAAATAAATGGCGCTAATTGGAAAATTAACGGTTACACGACAAGGGAAATTGCAAGTTATTTTCTATACCAATCTTCCTCAGTTGATTACAGAACAAGTGATATCAAATTGCAGCTACAAAATACATCCTCTGGAAATGAGAAAGCATAAATATTTCCGATACATCACATTAATGGCGCACAAGTAATGAAGATTTATGCATTCAAAAATTAATATTTTTTGATGCACCATTAATACTGTATACCGAGGGCATTGCATATTTCATAGTAAAATATTATGAATTTTACAAACTTCAGCCAAGTGCACAACCAAAATTTCACAAGAAGACTCGCTTGAAAATCTCTTTTAAGTAGCTCTAATCCAATTCTCTCCCTTAAATCTGCTTCCCTGTTGTAGGTCAATGATTCAGTTGTTGAAATTGTTAGTATTTGTTTGTAAAAAATAAAATAGTCCCACATTGGAATTTTGAACATTCTTTTAAAGGTTTAAAAGTATTGAATGCTTATTGGGCTTTGAATAATGGATCAAAGTGTAGGCTTCTAAACCCGCGTGCGGGTAGCGCGAATAATGCGCGATTTTGACGCGATTATTAGACGCACTTAGCACGCTTGCCGCTTAAATATTCTATTTTTTATATATAATTATATATTGAATATAATTTATTTTTAATGTTATTTCGAATTTTAAAAATTATGAAAAGACAAGTGACTGTTGAAAAGTGGCTGTTTGTTCCAAGGGGTGTTTTGAAAAGTTGTGACTGTTGGAAGCACCTTTTCAAAACTATAAATAGTTTATGTTTTCAGATCTTTTTTTAAACAATTCTTTCTCTGAATCTTTTCTAGCAAAAACATCTGCAATATTACAAACTTGTTTCACAACGAATTAAGGAAAATTCCAGATTTGCTTACTGGAATTTTCATTTTCTGTTGTATCCTGGGAAGAAAATTTGCATTAACCCGAAGCAACTTTGAATATCAAGTGGGGGCAAATATTAACCCGAAGCAACTTTGAATATCAAGTGGGGGCAAATATTTCTTTAAGGAAAGTGTTTCACGCCTCAGAAGTTCTGTCTCCTTAATTGTTAAAACTAACAAATCTCAGAAGTATTTGAATCAGAGAGGACTCGATGATCCCTACCCATGACCAGTAACATGGGAGCAGCATTATGGAAGTCACTGCTACCAAAAACACCATGTCTCACACAACAGTCTTTTCTCATTAGTCCTGCACAGAGATACAAAGTCCATGATGAAAAAAACAATGAGCATTCAAAAAAATAGATAAATAAACAAAACAAAACAAAACAAAATAAAATAAATCAAGCAGAAGCGAGGCAAATATGAGGCGAGTCATGAAAATAAACAATATAAAATAAAGGAATAATTGCGAACACACCTATGTACAACATGGGGTGCACTTATTACCCTGATTTCTTATTAGCACATCTTAGGGCATCTCCAACCCATCGCACCAAAATGGTGCAAATTTTGTACCAAAATGGTGCAAAAGTCACATCTAACAGTAATTCATCTCCAATCCATTGCACCATTTTTTGCACCAAAAAAGAATATTCTCAATATATTCTTTTTTATCTACTTTTATATTATTATTTTTTATTCCATATATTTTTAACTATTTCAACAATTAACCCCACATATCAAGTTTTATTTTTTTCAAATATTTTTCAAACAAAATGATTTATTATTTAAAAAATAAAACTAATAAAACAATAAAATATTATTTTATTAATTAAAATAACTTGATTGCTAAAATATTATATTTTTATTATTGATATTGCCAAAATATTACATTTAAGAACACAACAGAAAATAAAATACAAGAAAATAATTAAACATTAACAACAATGTAAAAATTATAAATTTAATATGCACTTAACTATCTGAAATAGTGTATTCCTCCCATAAATGATCTATCAATGCATTACGAAGCGCAATATGGGCATCTTTATCCTTGATTTGTTTGTAACGTGCAATAAATTGAGTAAATCTTGTAGTTTTATCTGCTACAATATCAACTTCTGGTGTTGGCGCTTCCCTCACTTTTTGAATTGGTGCATAAAGGTCACGTTCATCCTCGATTATCATATTGTGCATAATAATGCATGCAGTCATTATGTCATGTAATACATGTTTTTTTCAAAAAACGTGTTGATCCTGTCACAATTGCAAATCGTGATTGGAGAACTCCGAACGCATGTTCTACATCTTTTCTACATGTTTCCTGTTTCATGGCAAAATATTTTTTCTTCCTACCTTGTGGCTGTTGGATTGTTTGTACAATAGTAGCCCATTTTGGATATATACCATCAGCTAAATAATAACCCATATTATACTCTTTTCCTTGAATAACATAGTGAGCGGGAGGAGCAATACCTTGAGCTAGATTAGAGAAAAGATTAGATGACTCCAGCACATTGATATCATTATTGGTGCATGGCATACCGAAATATGCGTGCCATATCCAAAGATCATAATCTGCCACAACTTCAAGGATAATAGTTGGTGACCCACCACGTCCTGCGTATTGCCCAGACCATGCCGTTGGACAATTTTTTTATTTCCAATGCATACAATCAAGACTTCCTAACATTCCTGGAAAACCACGTTTTTTACCAATATAGAGTAGCCTAGCAATATCGTTAGCGTTAGGTGTTCGTAGATACCGCTCTGCGAATATTTCCACCATAGCACGATAAAATTTTGTCATACTTTCAATTGCTGTTGACTTACCTATTTTAACGTATTCGTCCGTAGCATCAGCTGGTAGACCGTATGCCAACATGCGAAAAACAGCTGTTACTTTCTGTAATGGTGATAATCTCATTCTACCAAGTCCATCACTTCGTTGTTGGAAGTAATAGTCATGATCTTTCACTGCATCAACAATACGAATGAACAAACTTCTTGACATCCGATATCGACGACGAAACATATCTTCTCCAAAACGTGGATTATCGGCAATATAATCTATGATCAAATTCTGATGCGCATTTTCTCGATCGTGGTTGATCACTGCATGACCGGGAATCGAGCCACCATGGATCGGTTGGTAGTTTTGTTGACGTAACTTGTTAACGAGGATCATGTTGTTGTTGATGTACTCACAAATTACTTCTTCGGTTTCATCAATCTCTGCAATGATATTGGACAGAAAATTATCATCATCCGAAGATGAAGATGATGATAAATATGATGGACCTCCAGCATCGAAATTCATTTTTGAAGTAAGAAAAGAATGACTGAAGTATGCAGAAATGGAGAATAATAATTTTAATATAACAACGAGTAATTATGTGGATGTACCTAATCTAGTATGCTATTTATAAAACTTTGCTTAGCTGTATACATTGAACAATGTGTAAAGTTGAGCTGATTTCAGGAAATGCTTTCCAGCTGTTATCAGTTTGTCACAAAATTCAAATTTGCTTAGCTGTATACATTGGACAATGTGTAAAGCTGTGTTAATTTAAAAAAATAATTCCCACTCGTACAAAGCCTTCACACAATTCAAGGAAAGCTGAGCTGTGTATACGTTGGACAATGTGTCAAACTGACCTGATTGGGGAAAATGATTCCCACTCGTACAAAGCTTTCACACAATTCAAGGAAAGCTGAGTTGTGTATACGTTGGACAATGTGTAAAGATGACCTGATTTCAAAAAATGATTCCCACTCGTATAAAGTTTTCACACAATTCAAGGAAAGCTAAGTTGTGTATACGTTGGACAATGTGTAAAGCTAACCTGATTTCAAAAAATGATTCCCACTCGTACAAAGCTTTCACACAATTCAAAGAAAGCTGAGCTGTGTATACGTTGGACAATGTGCAAAGCTGACCTGATTTCAAAAATTGATTCCCACCGACAACGTTGGACAATGTGTAAAGCTGATCAGTTTTCAAAAAATGATTCCCACTCGTACAAAGCTTTCACACAATTCAAAGAAAGCTGAGCTGTGTATACGTTGGACAATATGTAAAGCTGACCTGATTTCAAAAATTGATTCCCACCAACAACATTGGACAATGTGTAAAGCTGATCAGTTTGTACAAAACGATTCAATTTCAAATGTTGACCGCCGACCAATTCAAATTCAAATTAAAATTCAAACAAAAAAAAAACAAATTTGGATTGGCTATAAATAACATTCACGAATTCTACTTCAAACCACCCAATTCGAAGTATTTCTTTAAAGTATTTCTGATCTCCAAACCAACCGTTTTTTACAAAAAAATGTCTGTTCGATCAACTGGATACACGGTTACTGAAGATGTGCTCCTTTGTCAAGTATTCTTGGATATTTCTCAAGACCCTATTATCGGTAGAAACCAGTCTCGAGATGCATTTTGGTCTCGTGTGGAGGACAGATACAATGAACTTCGAGACCAAAATTCTGATGTGCGTACGAGCCGATCAATTCGTTCTCGAATGGAAATCATAAGTAATGAAGTAAGGAAATTGAATGCGTGCTTGAGACAAGTAGAGAATCTGAATCCAAGTGGTGCTTCAGATGAAGATATTGTAAGTATTCTATTAATTATCGTCTGAATTTTATTATTATTGTTGAAATACATAACTTGATGTTCACTATAATTTGCAGTTAGTTCGAGCAAAGATGTTATTTATGCAAGAACCAAAGTACAAAAAAGGTTTCAAATTTGATAATGTATAGAATATGGTTAAAAATTTTGAAAAATTCAAAGATGATGTCCCCACAGCAAGACAAGTTGGTCGAAGACAATCCCAAAGTGTGAACTTCGACTCATCACAATCAGATAATCCCACTCCGGAATCTCCTATATCAACATCTCCTGGACTATCATCATTTACTCCATCTGAACGACCTATTGGGGTAAAAAAAGCTAAATTGAAAAGGAAAAATGATGATCATGAGTCAAGTGTAGTGGACTCCATCGAGACCTCCAACAATCGACTTATAGACAGGTTAGACAAGGCGAGCTTGGACAGGCAAGAAGCATTTGATATCGAACGAGAAAAGATAGCCATGAAAAAAGATAGAGATGAATGGAAAATTATAATGAAAGATTTGAATTCCATTGTTTTATATTATGTGTGTCAGTTTTTATATGTTATGTATTTCAGATATGTAATTTATATTTGAATTATGTATTAGGATTGCTCTTTATATTTCATGGGACTTTACTTATAATGTCTAGATTTTAATATTATAATTAATAATAATGTTTTTTAAATTTTAGCATTATTTTTATTTTTAAAAAATAATTTATTTTGTCCAAATTATACAATTAGGGTAAAATTATAAAATTTAAATATTATTGGGGTTGTTTTATACATTTAATGAAACAATTGGGGTCAAATTGTAAATATATAAAAGTATGAGGTAAAAAAATTGAAAAAAAAATAAAATAAAAAACAGTAATGGGGGTGATGAACAGTGCGACGCCAAATATGGCGTCGCGCTGTTCATCACCGCCAAAATGCGGTAAAAAATAGCGCTGGGTTGGAGCTCACGCGCAGCGGCAAAACCCATTTTTGCCTCAAAATGCCGCTGCGTTGGAGATGGTCTTAGACTCACTACTGATGTCCGAACAGAGTTATCCGTTCGTTATTTGTTACTTGTATGTGCACCGTAAGATGTATATTAGACGCTCAAGGTCATGCCTCTGTCTAACAAAGTGAAATATTAAGGGATCTATCTGCAACACATTCATGTCCTGTGACGCTCACTTGACGAGTACAAATAAAGGGAAGATAACTCCATCGTGGAATTAGGGATCAAAGTTCTAATAAAAAAGTTTAGGGTTAATAAGCGTAAAACAACTTTAGTGCAGGAGGCACTCTGCAATTAAACCTAAAATCAATAAAATTGAGGAAAGCTCATTCCAAGTCCATAGAAACAGATAAAGTGAAGAGGCAAGAAAATATATCGACAATAATCTACGAAATAGAAACTATGAGAAACATCATAAACATCACTAAAAACTAGAAAGTAACTAGTAAATAACTCACAATAAACAAGTTCAAGTACATCTTTAAGATGATATCAAAGCAATTCATATTCAAATTGAATGCCCAAGACAGATTTAAAAGGGAGTAACTCTGCATTAAAAAAGTCATGTTTCTGTCCATAAAAAGAACATTCACCTATCGGACACGTTAGATTCTTAGAATGTAAACTTATAAATTTCAATGCTTATCACAATTTCAAAGATATAGCGAAAGGAACTCTAGCTGAATGAAAAGCACATTTAGTTTTATCCTTAAAACTACCTAACACTGCAAAGAAACGAACATACCCATAAAACAATCTGAGGCCTGTGTCCCTTGAAACTGTTGGGAATTTAACGCCGAAATCCCTAATGCAACGGAAACGCAGTATAGAGAACAGTACACCAAGTTTTACGAGGTTCGGCAACTGCCTACGTCCTCGGGAGCCACACAGTCAATTTCTTATTTAATCTAACAAGAAATTACAAATCAAGAGCAAATCTCTAAACTGAGATTCCTCAATTTTATAGTCGAATCGATGATAGGCTGGCGACAACCTGTCGCCAGCGGTTCGCACGGACGCGGGTGTGGGAGGCCGAACGCGGGGGTCGGAACTGAGGGTCGCGTTCGCCAACGAGGGTCGCGTTCGCCAACGAGGGTCGCGTTCGACCCAAACCACCATCGCGTTCGCCAAGCTCGAGCTCGCCTGGGGGGGTCGCCGCCGACTTCGCCACGCTCGTCTGCGTCTTCCTGGAGCTCGTCGGAGCTCCTCCGCCGTTGGAGGTTGGTATCCATCTTCAACCTAACAATCTCCCACTTGGAGACCAAACCGACGACAACATGCTATCCCATCAAGCTCCTCTCTTGTGTGGCTCCGCCTTCATCATCTATGCATGAAGGCCAACTGAAGTTGCACACAACTCCAGTTTCTGAAAGGTCGCTGCCTTTGTCAACATATCCGCTGGATCCTTTCTTCCTTGGATATTCTGTTGAAATCATTTGACAACTTGTCGGGCTCTGTATCGTCTGGAACCATTCTGCTCCTTTTTCACTCGATACACCCACTTGTTGTGGCGTGTCTTCTTCCCCATGGGCAACTTAGCTAGTCCCCATGACTGGTTGGAGATCAGAGATTTCTTCTCTTCTTTCGCAGCAAACTCCCACTTGCTCGCATCTCCACTCTGACAAGCTTCATCAAAGCTTTCAAACTCTCCTCCATTTGTCAGCAACATATAATTCATGTATCTGCTGTTAGGCACAGGAGGACGAGTAGTTATCCTCAATATCGGAGCTGGTGCATCGGGCTCCTGCGCACCGTTCTGTCCAACAGACTCTTCTGGCTGAGGACCTTCTGCATTGGGTTCTTCCGAGAGGTTATCTGGGACATCATCTGCATCTACAAATGTTGACTCGCTCTCTGAGTCACCGTCATCTGTCTTGTGCATGTCCTTGTACATCACCTTCTCGTTGAATGTCACATCTCTGCACCTGATCACCTTCTTGTTTTCGTTGTCCCAAATGCGGTAGCCGAAATCGTCTTCACCATACCCGATGAATGTGCATTTCTTGGACTTGGGATCAGGCTCATTCCTGCCTTGATCACTTATATGCACATAAGCTACACAACCGAAAACTTTGAGATGTGAGAGGGTTACCTCCTTTCCGCACCATACCTCTTCTGGTATTCTGTGCTCCAATGGAACCGATGGACCTCGGTTGATCAAGTAAGCTGCTGTGTTGACTGCTTCTGCCCAGAACTGCTTCGGTAGACCTGACTGCATCCGAATGCTTCTGGCTCTCTCTGTCAACGTTCTATTCATGCGCTCAGCCACACCATTGTGCTGAGGCGTGCCGGGCACGGTCCTCTCCATTCTGATACCGTGCTCATAGCAGAACTTCTTGAATCTGGTGTCTTCATACTCACCACCATTGTCTGTTCTGAGTTTCTTTACCCTCAAACCGGTCTCATTCTCGACCATGGCTTTCCATCTTCTGAAAGCCTCAAACACTTCTGACTTTTTCTTCAGAAAGTAGACCCATACTTTCCGAGAGTGATCATCAATAAAAGTCACGAAGTAGTGTTTCCCACCAATCGACGCGGTGGTTGTTGGTCCCCAAACATCCGAGTGAACAAGCTCTAGCTTCTGCTTCCTGGGGGGTCTGCTACTTGCCTGAAAGCTAACTCTCTTCTGCTTTCCATGGAAAGTCATCGTGTAGCCTTCACTAGCCAGCTGGCTTACTGAGATTAAGTTCCTCTTCAGGTCGGGAATATACCTGACATCCTTCAGCTCCCATACTGACTCATTCAGCTTAATCTTCACTACACCTTTGCCAATAATGGCACATGCTTGATCGTCACCAAGATATACATTTCCAAGGTTTCCGGGGATATATTTCTCGAGGAATTCTTTCTGAGAAGTAGCATGGAATGATGCTCCCGAGTCCAACACCCAAGACTCCTCCTTGCTCTCCAAAGAGCATATCAGCGCATCATCTCCTCCTGAGATGGAAGCAACATTCACATCTGCATTTTCCTCCCACTCCTCCCGTGCACTCCTGCACTGATTCTTGTAGTGCCCGGTTTTCCCGCACTTCCAACACTCGATAGCCTTCGAACTGTTGGGATTTCTGGATTTGGATCTCCTATCATCTGATCCATTTCCTCTGGTTGAACTTCTACCTCTTGACTCTATATGTAATACTGAAGAGGTTGTAGCTTCATCCGACTCTCTCCGTCGGATCTCCTCACTGAGAACCAGATCACGAACGTCGTCAAACTTCAACTTTCTCTTTCCCGACGAGCTACTCACTGTCGTGACTGTAGCGTTCCAACTCTCTGGTAGGGAAGACAAAAGGATCAACGCTCGAACTTCCTCATCAAACTCAATATCAACTGAACTCAATTGGGTCGTGACTGTATTGAGTTCATTGAGATGATGTGCTACCGATGCACCTTCCGCCATTCGCAGATTGAACAACCGCCTCATCAAATGGACTTTATTTGAGGCTGATGGCTTCTCATACATATTTGAGAGTGCCGCCATAAGACCTGCCGTGGTCTTCTCCTTCGTTATGTTGAACGCAACATTGCGAGTTAATGTCAATCTGATAACTCCGAGGGCTTTTCTGTCCAGAAGATTCCAATCTTCTTCCTTCATACCCTCCGGCTTCTTCCCCGAGAGAGGTTGATACAGATTTTTCTGATATAGATAATCCTCTATCTGCATTTTTCAGAATCCGAAATCTGATCCATCAAACTTTTCTAATCTCACCTTTCCCTCATCTGCGACCATGGTTCCCACTTGAATCTGACTTTCTCTAGATCGTTTCACGCTCTGATACCAGTTGTTGGGAATTTAACGCCGAAATCCCTAATGCAACGGAAACGCAGTATCAAGAACAGTACACCAAGTTTTACGAGGTTCGGCAACTGCCTACGTCCTCGGGAGCCACACAGTCAATTTCTTATTTAATCTAACAAGAAATTACAAATCAAGAGCAAATCTCTAAACTGAGATTCCTCAAACAAACACTGTAGCTACAGTGTTAATACCCACAATAAAATCCCCTCTTCTCTTTTCTCTCTCTTCTTAAATCCCCTAAAACACTGTTGAAGCCTGGGAATTTAAATCGCTGCTGCGATTTGAGAAAAAAGGAACGCTGCTGCGTTTGGGGTTTTTCACCGCCGCCAGAGAAAGAAGTCGGGGAGAAGGAGCACCAACCCTAGGGCTCGGGGGGGCTCCTTTTATAGCCGATCGCCAGCCATGCGATGGACGCGGAGGTGGGAGGCCAAAGACGCGATGGTCGGAACTGAGGGTCGCGTTCGCCAACGAGGGTCGCGTTCGACCCAAACCACCATCGCGTTCGCCAAGCTCGAGCTCGCCTGGGGGGGTCGCCGCCGACTTCGCCACGCTCGTCTGCGTCTTCCTGGAGCTCGTCGGAGCTCCTCCGCCGTCGGAGGTTGGTATCCATCTTCAACCTAACAGAAACCTCTGTGAACATCAATTAAGAAAAATCCAGGAACATCCTTGCTAGTGATTGAGGAATTGAGAGAGTGATCTGACGAAGACAAAGACTCATCTGATGCAGAGCTGGAGAGCTTCTTTCTCTGTGAACCACTCTACTCTTCTCTCTGCTTCCTAGCCATGATCACATGCCAATGATTCTTCACCCCCTTATCTGTGCTCCCAGGAAAAACACTTGCTATTATTGCGCATTTGCTGCCGTCAGCTTTTTGAGCAGCTAGAAGCCTACTTTCTTCTTCTTCAGTTAACGCGCTTCTATTGATACTGGGGTCTAGCTGATTGAACCATCTCAGCCTGCAACTCTTCCCTGTTCAAATTATGACATGGATAAGAAAACCATCATAAAAAATAGTTTTTTGTTAGTAAAAATTATTATTTGTATAAATACCTGATCTCCCTTGTTGTTTCTCTGCTATAAGGTTCCAGTTCTGGGGGCCATGTTGAGAAACTAGTTCTCTGAGCTCGGCATCCTCAGATCGCCTCCAATGGCCTCTAGAACAGAACTTGGACTGCTCATTCTCGTTCTGTATCTACCTTGTTTTTCTTGAAACAAACCCATTACAAGGTAAGGACTGGTTTTCATCTTGAATGTAAGAGAATAAAAAGCTAAGAAGCGTTCAAAGTTGAAAAGAGAAAAGGGGAAAGGAATAAAAAGACACAACCGTGGTTGGGGGAAAGCCACACGTTTCTCCTGACCTTAGCTCTTTCTTATTCTATTCTAAGTCAGACGTTGAATGTTGTGTTTTGTTGCGCTCTTTGAGTAGTTTGAGCATTGGGCTTTGCATCAGCAGCAAACTGACTTCCATTTCAAAAAGAGAAGATAAGAGACAGTCCCTTGTGTGGGTTTTGAGCTTTGGAGACTCTATCTTCTCGTCCTTCTCTTGTTTTGGATGATATATAAACAAAAAAGTAGGCATACTGTAAAGAGTTTTGTGGAAATGATTTTTCATTGATTTGTTTTGGCCGTAGCCTGGGAATATATACACAAAGCTGATTCAACTTTCCTTGTACAGCTAGAAGATTTACATAAATAGCAAAGCTAAACTAAGTAACAAATAAGCTAAGATAGGAAAGTAGATCAATCATACAACTCATCTTAACATACCTAGCCTAGGGAATATTTACAGAATCAATCACAAAAATATGCACACGTTATTTCCACTAATACTCCCCCTCAAGTTGGAGCATGGAGATTGCAAATGCCCAACTTGCGAAGGAGTAAATAAAACTGTGATTTACCAAGAGCCTTGGTCAAAATATCCGCTAGCTGTGCACCGGTCCGAATATGAGACGTAGAAATTGTTCCATCTTGCAAAGCATCACGAACAAAGTGACAATCCATTTCTATATGTTTCGTTCTTTCATGGAAAACCGGATTAGCCGCTATATAGAGAGCAGCTTGACTATGTTTGCGTCAAAAGTTGGTTTTGTCATGGAATTCATTATATCTTCAGTCGATTACAATAAATTCAAAAGAAATAGCCTTTTTATAAGACTTCTTTTACACAACAAAATGAAAATTACAACTCTTGGAAAACAAACGCAGGATCGTTGTTTGGATCACTGCTTGCGTGGGATCTTTGCCTGTGCCGGGGGTGCGTTAGCCCGTGGACCACCAAATCACAGATTCTGATCGAATCGTGAGGGGTTTATGATTCTGACTTCGTTTATCGAAGTGAGAACTTGAAACGATATCTTATCAAGGTAAGATAGTCGTTCTTCTTGAAATCAAGTCAAAGCCTGAATATCAAGGAGTTACAGAAGCTCGAGTACTCTGCCCTCTCTGCTCTGAAATCAGCCTGTGGATGCTCTCTGATCAGCCTCCTTCAAAAATGGCCTTCGGGGGGTATTTATAACCCATAGGAACAGTTCTGTAACTGTCTTCCCACGTTTTAAACTCCGTTATTCTGGCAGTTATCAACGTGATTCTCGCCCACGACGTTCCCCACGTTCTTGAACAGTTGGTGGCCACGTGTCGGCGGTTATAAAGTGGTTTCTAACTTCTTTGAAAACTGTCTCATGGGCGAGACAGAGAATGCTGTCTCGCGGGCGAGACAGAGAATGCTGTCTCGCCTGCGAGACAGAGAATGCTGTCTCGCCTGGCGAGACAGTAAAGACTGTCTCGCATGCGAGACATCCCAAACTTGTGTTCTTCTGCCTTTTTGGATGATTTCCTCTTGAGCTGTATTTGGATATCTTTCAGCATTTTTTGACGCCTACAGACTATCACAAAATAATCGCATGGGACGCACATGTTGTATCCCAAAACAAGCCAAAAGGGATTTCAACCACTTTAACTCACATGTAGTAGTTACCATAGACCTATACTCGGCCTCCGCAGAAGATCGGGAAACAGTTGGCTGTTTTTTCGTTTTCCAAGAGATAGGAGAAGAGCCTAATAAAATAAAGTAACCAGTCAATGATCTCCGAGTTATAGGGCAACTTGCCCAGTCGCTATCACAGAAGGCATAGAGTTGAAAATTACTCTCCCCACGCAGCAAAATACCCTGTCCAGGACAACCTTTCAAATACCGCAAAACTCTCAAAGCTGCATCCCAATGTTCAACACGAGGATCACCCATAAACTGAGCTAATATATGTACGGAGTAACACAATTCAGGCCGTGTAATCGTCAAGTAGATTAGGCGCCCTACAAGTCGCCTGTACTTCTCCGGATCATCAAAGACAGCGCCATTTATGGTGGCAAGATGGTGATTTTGTTCCATGGGTGTAGAAGCGGGGCGTGCTCCAAGTAATCCGGCCTCACTTACGATGTCAAGAACATATTTTCGTTGTGAAAGAAACAAACCGTCCTTCCCACGTGCCACTTCAATGCCGAGAAAATATTTGAGAATGCCCAAGTCTTTCATATGAAATCTCTCACTTAGTTGTTGCTTGAATTTCTCGATTGCCAAAGAAGAAGAACCTGTGATTATAATGTCATCTACGTACACAAGAACATGTAAAGCAACATCACCCTTGGAATAACTAAACAATGAGTAATCAGCATAAGATTGTTTAAAACCAATATCCTTCAAAGCAGTCGAGAGCTTAGCAAACCAATTCCGTGGTGCTTGTCGGAGTCCATAGAGTGACTTACGTAATCGACACACCTTACCCGAAGTAGCAGAATTAAAGCCAGGAGGTAGTTGCATATATACCTCCTCATCAAGATCTCCATGTAAAAAGGCGTTATGCACATCCATCTGGTGTAGTTCCCACTTTCTTGCCATTGCTATAGCCAAAAATGTTCGAACCGTGACCATTTTAGCTACAGGTGCAAATGTTTCATTGAAGTCAATTCCTACAACTTGTCGATTCCCGTACACTACTAGACGCCCCTTTAATCGTTCAACCGTACCATCAGATCGATACTTGACTTTATAGACCCACTTACATCCGATTGCCTTCTTCCCGGGTGGAAGGTCCTCTAAAGTCCAAGTTCTATTTCTCTCAAGGGCATCTATTTCTTCTTGCATTGCTTTCCGCCAACCAGGGTCCTTAACAGCTTCTTTAAAAGATGTGGGTTCAGTGCCTGCAGTAATTGCTGCCAAGAAACAGGTGTGTCTCACAGAAAACTTATCACAATTTACATAATAAGCAATGGGAAAAGGAGTACCTGAGGACTTTGATGGAGCAGTTGTAGGTGATGTGACAGGGTTTATAACTAGAACAGTATTGGTGATAAAGTCCTTGAGTTTACTAGAAGGTTTCTTTATTCGATGTCCTCGACCAGTTTCTTGCAGAACATTCGCTTCATTAATCACCTCCCCAGTATTCGAAGTTGCACCAACACAAAGTTGTTGGACAGCCTCCAACCCGCCACCCGTAGGTGGTGTGACGTGCTGCTCAACCTCTTCAGCCCTGCCATCAATTCCTCCTTCCACAACCGAGTGCTCCTCACTCCCCCTTGCTAAGGGAGTATCCTCAAAATAAGTCCCAGTGTTATAATACTCCTCATTTTCAAATACACCCCTCATTTTCAAATACACCATCAGTATTATTCAAATGGATTTCACTAGCAAAAGGGAATTGTTTTTCACAAAAAACAACATCTCAAGATATAAAGAACATCTTTTGCTCTAAGTCATATAAACGCCACCCCTTTTTACCAAATGGATACCCCACAAATACACATCGACGAGAGCGAGTACCAAACTTATCCTTCACACGAGGTTGATTTTTGACAAAACAAAGACAACCGAATACACGAAGGGCATCATACTTAGGAGGTGAACCAAAAAGAACTTCGTGAGGTGTTTTTCCATTGAGCAATGGGGTAGGGGTTCGGTTTATTATATAGGCAGCCGTCATTATACTCTCCCCCCAAAAAGAAATGGGAAGATTAGCTTGAAAAAGTAATGCCCGAGCCACATTAAGAATATGCCTATGTTTACGTTCTACCCTTCCATTTTGTTGTGGAGTGTTGACACAAGAGGTTTGATGAATAATACCATTGTCAGCATAAAACCGATGAAGACATGTAAATTCCCTTCCGTTGTCACTTCTTAGAATTTTAACATGCTTATCAAATTGGGTTTTAACCATTCTACAGAAATTCGTAATAAGTTGAGGCACCTCAGACTTTGCAGACATCAAATAAACCCATACGGCTCGAGAACAGTCATCGACAATGGTTAAAAAATAATGAGCACCACAACTAGCCGGCAAAGTATACGCGCCCCATATATCATAATGGATTAAGTCAAAAACATCTTTGGCTTTATTATTACTCAAAGGAAACCTACTTCTAGTTTGCTTAGCTCTTAAACAAATATCACAAGATTCATGAATAGCACGAACATCCTTATTTCCATTACTTCGAATAATATCAGGCAAAAGAAAATCTACTTTCCGAGAGGGGTGTCCCAGCCTTTGATGCCACAGTTCTCGTTTATCTCCCACAGTTGCATTATAAGCCCGAAGTTGTCGCAGAGGCCGAAACCAGTAAACCCCGTCACATTGTTCACCCGCTCCAATCAGAGTCCTCAAAGTACAGTCCTGTATGATGCAAAGCTTATCAGTAAAAATGACAGAAAAATGTAAATCGGCAAGCAAGTGAGACACCGACAGCAAATTACAAGTAAGATCTGGAACTAATAATACATTATTTAGCACTATATTTTTGCTCAGAGTTATCGTCCCTTCCTTAGTAGCGATGGTTTGTTTTCCATTAGGCAGCCCAACATAAGTAGGAGAAATATCAATCAATTTGCTAAATAATCTAGCATTACCAGTCATGTGGTTCGAGCATCCGGTATCGATGATCCATTGATCGGGAACATCAAACTTACCACTCAACTTTTCGGTCGAAGAAGACTACCCTTTGGAAGTGTTGAGCATGTTCACAAGCGTAGCCCACTGATCATCCGAGAGAGCATGAATGCCGCTACGATCTGACTCCTGTAGGGGTACCTGAGCATAGCTTGTATTGGCAGCAGACTTCGAGGTGGCTGCTGCGTTTGCTACTCCTTCCTCCCCCTCGTCCAAACCTGCCTCCGCCTCTACCTTGCCCTCCATTGGTGCGGTTTTCAGAATACCACCAATCCGGGAACCCAATCAGTTGAAAACAACTTTCTTGGTCATGCCCAGGTTTGGCGCAATGAGAGCAGACGCCATTGGGTCGAGGACGCTCACTACCACGAGCAAGGTTGCGCCCCCTAGCAGCCCCTTGTGCCGCGAAACCGACAACATCAGATTTGGTTTCGTGGGCTCGAGCAATAGTTTGGTGACGTTCTTCAGTCACGATCTTAGCAAAAATCGTGTTTAAGCTCGGCAAAGGTTCCATCATCAAAATATTTGAAACAGCATTAGCATAAAGAGTAGAATCCAAACCAACCAGGAAGGCATGTACCTTTTCATTCTCTTTTTCTTTAGCAAATTCAGTAGCAGCGGCACAAGTACATGTTGGGACAGTAGAATATCCCGCAAGTTCATCCCATATCTTCCTCAATTCGTTGTAGTAATTCACCACAGAGAGGCCACGCTGCTTGCAATTACTCAAAAGTGTCTTCAACTCATGGATTCTTGGACCGTTTCCTATCGCAAAACGTTGTCGAATATCATCCCACATATCTTTCACATCATCAGGTTGAGGGACGGATGAGCGTAAGACTGGATCAAGGGTATTATGAATCCATCCTACGAGAGTGGAATTAACCCTCACCCATAAGGACTCTTCTGGAGTTCCTTTCGTCGGTTTGGCTATGGTTCCATCGAGGAAGCCGAGTTTGTTCTTTGCACGGAAGTTATTGCGCATCGAACGAACCCATTCATTGTAGTTCTCACCACGTAACACAATTGGACAGATTGTGATTTGTGGTCCGTCGGAGGGATGGAGGTAGTATGGAGATGTGGAGTCGAGGGGCTTTGTGGTCTTGTCGTCACCCATGACGAGGTGTCGATAGTCGGAATTCGTGTTTGAAGATCGAAGGTTTCAATCGCTGGAGAACGATTAAAAAAAAATTGGCCCTCTCTCCTATTCTTGAGTGGCTCTGATACCATAAAGAGATTTGTGGAAATGATTTTTCATTGATTTGTTTTGGCCGTAGCCTGGGAATATATACACAAAGCTGATTCAACTTTCCTTGTACAGCTAGAAGATTTACATAAATAGTAAAGCTAAACTAAGTAACAAATAAGCTAAGATAGGAAAGTAGATCAATCATACAACTCATCTTAACATACCTAGCCTAGGGAATATTTACAGAATCAATCACAAAAATATGCACACGTTATTTCCGCTAACATACTGGGTTATAGATACTCATTCATCAATTGATTGAAAAATTAACGGTTTCACAATAATACAACAAAAGAGACAATGAAACATACGTGTTAGAAGTATTGAAACATCGTGATTTTTGTTTTATCGATGCGTTGAGACATTTGGATCATGATGAATGGAGCGGATCATCCATTGGAACAGTCTAATCCATGCATCATGCATCCTTAGGTTGAACTTAAGGTGCCTCCCTAGTAACATATTTCCCTTGTCATATATATAAGATTATATTCACCTATACTTCTCCTCGTTGTCTGTCTCTTCTATGCCCCTTTCTGAACTCCCATTCCACCCAACCCGCTTTGGTCTTCAGCTTTTCAAAGGAAGAGAGGAGAAAGAGTTTTCAAATTCTTGAAGGAATTTTAAATGGCACAAACCTCTCTCCACACATGCCCTGATCTGCTTTATATTAGTGGAGTTCCCCATTAAAAGAAATGGTCCTTTTGACCTTCTATTAGTTTATATTTTGTAAGGCAGCCAAGGTTGAGAGGACCCTGAGTTGGTTTCAGAAATACCTCTCCACGCAGAAAAAGAAAATATTTATTAGAGAATGTAAACTTTTGAAATTTAAGAGAGAGAGGTTCGATCCATTTCAGAGCTTCATGATGTATATAATTGGATCCAAATAAAATTTAAAAGAGCCAAAATAGACCATGTGATAGGAATGGAAATGCAGTGGTAAAGACAATTTCCTATGAGCATATTGTGAAGAAATTATGATTCAACGCATGAACCAGCTATAAAATGTATGATAAATTTATAATACAGTGAACGATTACTTTGTAAACTCATACATGTATCTTGCCCTTTAAATGTATTGTCCTAAAACTAGACACATATTGAATTCATGTGAAAGTCCCCTACATGAACCATGTAATAATCTATATATTAAGTATCAAATGTGCATCTGATATCAATATGGCTTCCCTATAGAAGGACCAATGTGTTGATTGGGATTATGTTCAGAAATCTATTCTTAATCATGGTTTATAGAGCAACAAGATATACAGATTGTGTAGTTTTTCATGTTGAAAATTTAGTCAAAATTTTTTTAAGAAAATATATTGACAACTTGAACCAAAAGAGAGAGCTTGCCTCACTATTTGAAAAATATCTTGACTACAAAAGACTGAGAAGAACTAACAAAAGATAGAAACATAAATATGCTTATGATGTTACTGATGCAAACTCAATCACATCATAACAAAACTATCAACAAATCATAGCTTAACACAAAGTAAAAGGAGAGCAACATTGTAGATATTTTTACAGCAGTCTAAGCAACCAGGCCAAAATGCACATCATATTGGAAAATTAAACACTTATAAACAAGAGTCAGTACTGCTTGATGGAGAAAAACTAGATAGATAACTGAAGAAAAACTAGATAGGTAACTAAAAATTTGAGCTTCACAGATAAAAATTGAATACTTACCCAGTTACCCAGTTCACAATAAGCATTGGCAATCTGACCAGAAATGCAAGTTCTGAACAAAATCCTGATTGAATTTTGTGAGGATGTCTCTGATACAGGACCCAGATGATCAATCAGACTGCAACGCACAGGAGCAACCAGACCAACCAATTACATGATACATGCTGTCTATCAAAAAAATGAACCAAGGACCTTGAGTAAGTCCCTCCTACACTAAACAATGCAAATAATATGAAAATAACAAAACAGGAGTTGCAGTTTCTACCCTAAGTTACTTCCTTCCGTGTGGTCTGAACTGTGGATGCAATCCTTCATAGACGAGCTAGATAGTTACACCGGAAAAAGGTATTTTCTCCTCTATACAGGATATAATTTGGGAGTTCTCCACCTTATTATTTTTCTAAAATAAAGAAAAAATGTTTAGAGAAGGCAAAAGAGTCCCAGAACATTCATGAGTGTAACGCACCATAAAACAGGACGGCTGAGAGATCATGAACAAGGAAAAAACATCATAACCATCATTTGCAACTCAACATTACGTTCTTTTTATTTGTAGAAAAAGTAGAATATTTGTTCTTCACCCAATGAGAGAATATCATATACAATTGCATCATACAATCTCATGCAAATGGACTAGAACTCAGAAATCAGATCTTTAGCTTCCACCATAATCACCAGAGGAGAAATAAAACTATGTTTCATTCAAACTATAAACATCACCTGCACCTACTATTTACAGAACTCCATCTACAGTTTAAGGAAACTTGACAAACCTGGCCAATTCATCCCCAACAACTACGTGACAGCATAACGAAGCTCTACAACAGGCTGTATTAAAAAGTCACCAAATGCTTTAACCAGCAAATTACATGCACTAAAAATGTTTCTTGTGCTTTTGAAGTAAGAATAAGTATCTCTCTATGAGATGTCACATGCTTATGTGCTCTCAAGAAATGTCTGAGAGCGAGATAAGGCAGCAGGATTGGCTTGCAAAACTTTAGCAGCAGTGGATGAAGCATGACTTTCATTATTGGACTGGAAACCTCGAAAAAGGCTGCCCCTTTTTATCGACTCATCAGGCTTAATGCCAAGTGTGGACCATATGGAGCTCTTAGCAGCCTCTTCTGGGTCATCAATTCTCAAAGTTTTAGGAATCCATAAAGACTTTCTCTCTGTTTTATTCTCCCCTTCCAAGCTACCATCTCTAGAATGCTTGCCCAGTGTAGGAGGATCATTGTCTGAAGACATGTTATTAGTTATAGCAGATGAGAATGGTGACAAGCCATTGATAGAGCCACTCCATGGTACATTCCATGCTTGATTTGGCCAACTTGTTGTGCAGGGCCAGAATGAAGGCGGCATGAAAGGAAAGGGAACAGTAGATGTGCATAAAGCTGGAGCAGCAAAAATCATTGGCGGGGTCCATGGAAGAGGGTTTGGACTGCCATTCTCAAAAGAGCAGTTGCTTGCTGCCATGGCAGCAATATTGTTCCATTCTGGGCCCAAGAAGTAAGGCCATGGTGGCCCTGGAAAACCCTGTAGAGGATGCAAAGGACGGAGCCCACTGCCACAAACAGGAGGACAATTTTGGTCTTTGTGAGCTTCGAGCTTAGGGAAATCATTTTCAGAACAACTAGGAGTAATAGAAGAGGAGGGAGAGGGTTCCTTGCCCTTCTCTCCAACAGAAACAAAGGCCATTTCCACGGAGGCCGCAGGTTTGCATAATGGTGTTTCTGGGCCAAATTTCATGACAACCTCATTTCCCATTAGAGGCTTTATAGACACAGAAGCACCTCCAGAATGATTCTGTTGCTTTAGAGAATGTTTTGTCTTCCGCTTTCCAGCACCAACAGGAACATTTCTCATTGTACCACCTGCAGTCCAATACCGCTGACAATTCCTACAAAAATGCCTTGGTTGATTAACGTTGTAATTGTTATAATAGCAGAACTTGGTGTTTAAGCTGTTGCAGCGAGGACAAGGCAGTATTTTATCTGGCTTCTTGAGGGCCTTATTTTTTCCTGAGCTATCAGATTCAGACAGATCATGGTTATGCTTGGAATCTGTTAGTGCTTCTTCAGTGTGAATGGATACGTGGTGATCACTTTGACTACCACTGTTTAAACCAGAAGAACCAGCTACCTCAAAATCCTGGTCTAATGCCTCTGAGACATCTGCTGCCCGATCTTTGACTTCTTCATTTGTGATTCCTCTGCATATACCCTAAAATATGGGAAGAGGTTTCAGTTTGCAAGAACTAGAACATCATGAAAAGCAGAAAACTAAAGAGTACAACCACTGAAAATTAAATTCATTATGGTGACCACGTGAAAACAAGTCATTTCATAACATTTACTGACAAAGTAAAAGTCATTTTATAACATCAAATTTTATAAAACACTTCAGAATAATCACTACACATGTAGCTTGGAGGTCATATATGTTAACAGTCACTTCAAGCTTCCGTTGCTGATATTTGACCACATGATTCAAGTCCCAAGAGTTCTGGTCTCTAAAAAAATCTAGTATGATAACTACCCAAAAACATGGTTTGAGGCTAACTTGCATCCACATGTAAAATATATGTATGTGTGGTTGTATATTTTATGAATGAGCACTCACAGCGCTGAATAAAAAAAATTTGTTTACACATGGACCTTATCAAATGTCAATCCGGTTCACATAAAAGCATCAGAAGCAAAAGCAATTGATGTCTGAGTGAGTTGACCAACTAATACTCCGTTCGAATGTCATTAGTTTTACATGTGTTACTCACAGCAAGAGACTACATTGAAGTGTAATTTTCAGTATAGGATTTCCAGTAGGTTTTCCAGATATACGTATACATGTGTTACTCACAGCAAGAGACTACATTGAAGTGTAATTTTCAGTATAGGATTTCCAGTAGGTTTTCCAGATATTACATATGCAAGGCCTTAGCTCTCAAATTGCATTGTTCAATACACTCCAAGCAGACTAGGTGATAACAGGAATTGTTAGTTACAAAAATGCACATATGTATCAATTGTGTAATTGAAAGAAAACATGAGCCTTCCCTTCAAGTTATAGTAACCTCTTTGCAGTTTAGTATTTGAATTAAAAAAATGGCTTCACTCCTTATCAATTGTGTAATTGAAAGAAAACATGAGCCTTCCCTTCAAGTTATAGTAACCTCTTTGCAGTTTAGTATTTGAATTAAAAAAATGGCTTCACTCCTTTTTGGTCTCATCTTGCCCCCCCAAAACAATTAAATTCATCCCCTCTTACCTTCTCAACTATTTTCAGTCTCATCTTACCCCCTTACCTCCTGAGCTGTCGCTTTTCTCCCATAAATTTGTTCAAAACACCCACATAGTAATAAACAAGAAATGGTAACTAAGCCCTGGATTTGATAGTTCAAGAAGTAAGCGGAGACGAATTCATTTAGGGGTCAAGGTGAGACTAAAAATAGTCCAAAGGGTAAGCAAGAAACAAATTCAACAGTTTAGAGGGCAAGTAGGGACTCAAAAATAGTTCAGGGGTAAGAAGTGACAAATTGAACAGTTTAGTGGGGCAAGTATGATCTGAAGCCTAAAAAGATTAACATAACATAACTTTCAGATGCAAAATTTCTTTCTAATAGCATCTCAATCCAGGTCCAGTTAGAATTAGCTGATCTTTGAATTTATCCCCAAATCTACAGTCCTCTTTCAATCCATGCAACCCAAAAGTATAATATAATATCTCGGCTAACGCACAATTGAATTATCCCCAATTCCAAAGTCCTCTTTCAATCTTTACTTTTATTTCTTTTCTTTTTTTTCAATTTGGATTAAAATCAGAGAAATTTCCCGTCAAGATTTATTTAATTAATCACATTTCTCTAAGTAAAGTACTTTTACTACTGAAATTTTCACCAATTTACAAATAAATAATACAAAGATGACATCAATCTCTTAGGGCAAAGTACTTAACTACAACAAACCGATCCAGCTTCGCCACTAATCAACCGAAAAAACCCAAATCGAATTCAAATCGAACCACCGAACTCCCAATCGAACAAACTTCCCCAAATTAATACGAACTACACGATCAAAGATTTTGAAAATTGAGAAACTGAAGAAGTGGAAATTGACCTTAGGATCCCGAATCGGGTCGGGTTGCGGATCCGAATCCGTTAAGGGGGCCGCGCCGTCCGAGATCTCGATATGGGGCTCGCCGACGTCAGCAGCCATCGTTGATCGAAGATTAGAAGAGGAACGGTCAGTGAAAAGAGAGAGAGAGAGAGAGAGAGAGAGAGAGAAAAGAGAAAAGGGTACGAAGAAATAGGGAGAGGTGCCAGCTAAGCGTCCGAGTCAGCACTTCGGGGCGCTGTGAGCCACTAGTTGTTGTGGTGGAGGATTCGCGTGGTTAACGTGGGATCCAAAAAAGGCCAAAATAAAAAAAAAAGGTGAATAGTGATATCTTTGTTGCTGTTTATTTGTTTTTCAAGGAAAAGGCCTGTTTGGTTGTAATTTTTGCAATGGAAATCATGTAAAAGCCGTCAGTTTAAGGGCCCCACAATCGGTTTTTATTACTTTACCTTGTTTGTTTGAATCTTCTTTGTCATGAAAACCTAACACAGAGTGGTGAAGTGTAACTAAAAACAAAACCGGTTCAATATGAAGTTATTTTCTTGGAAAACTGATACGGTGTCAACTGAACAACAAAAAAAATTAATAATAATAATAATAATCTATACTACTTCTAAAAGAGAAAACCATTGTCAAAACTTTTGCATACCAATTTTGCCCCTTTAAACCTACTTAATTATAATTTTATCCCATCCCATTATTGATCAGGCGTTACAAAAGCTTTCCTTT